CCCTCTCTATTTGTTAGCACAAGGTCCAGTAGCCCACCTCTCCTCGTTGGCTCCTCCACAACCTGCGTCAAAAAGTTATCATCAACGCACTGCAGGAACCTCCAGGACTGTTTGTGCCTGGCTATGTTGTTTTACCTGTTGATGTCAGAGTGGTTGAATAATAAGCTAAACCTTGTGATTTTAGCTTTTTATATATATTTTTTGTAAGTACATTTGATTTCCCTCATACATCTATACAATTAAGAATTTATGCAGCATACTGAAACTAGTATCCCAGCTTTAAAATGATCTGATGCATGGATTTTTTTCTCTGCATTTTGTCAAAATAGCAATATTAGAAGTTTAACGAAATGTGCCTTCCCATTTGAAGAATGCTAGAAAAATGAGTGAGAAAAATGAGTGAGAACAGGGCAGCTCTGAACATGTGCCAAAATTCAGACAGACAGACTTGAATCTCCCTGCTACTCTTGGAGCTGTCTTGATGTAAGGCAGCTCTGGTCTGGAAGTGGTTTTGTTGTGGTAGCTCAGTGAACCTTGTTAATTTTATAATTTTATTAATAATATAATTTTATATAATTTATTTGCTAAAAATAATGACCTAATTAATAATATTTTTATTAATTTTGACCTGATGTATGTCTTGGGGAGGAGCTGTGGAGAGGAGCTGTCCTGGAATCACCCTATTCATCTTTGATGCACTAGATAACAGCCTTAAACAGTTGTTGTAAATACTTCTTCTGTGAAATATACTTTCCCTTAATTTGAATTCTGAATTTTTAGTGCAGACAAAGAATAGTGGTACCTCTCGCATATTTAATGTGACTCGCTGTAAGGATGCTAGTCACTTAGATTGTGCAGAATATTGCTTGGAAGAGTGAAAACTGAATTCAGACATCAGATTGGTGTGTTTTGTATGACTTCAAGGTATTTGGTGTACTTGATACTTTCTTGTATTTGTTTTAAAATATCTTATTTTAACTAAGAATTAACTAAATGTAGAGGGTTTTTTCTGCTAATTTTTCAAAATTTTATTGTCACTTGAAATGAATTTATGTCCTCAGAAATCGGGTGGACTTTGTGCCATATGAAACCAAATGAGAGAAAGACTTCCTCTTCATCCAGAAAAGAATTGGGAAACTGGACACTAGTAGATGAAGGAGGAGAAGAGGTACAAAAAATAACTTTTTTTTTTTTCCTAATGCCTTTGTTTAAGCTTATTCTATTTATTTTGTGAATTGGAGGAAGTAAAGCTGACTCTCCCTCAGTTATAAAGCATCATTTTAAATTTAGAGCTGTTATCGTCTCCTTATAGCTTTGTGGTGTTGTTGCAGATAGTTATGCTATACTGGAAACCGGAGGTTTCCATTAATGAATATTAACAAGTATAAATTAAAATTTATTGGAACTATTGCATGCAAAAGGAGAGGAAAATACAGCTTAAGGCAACATAATGGATTTCAAATTGTTTATACAATGCAAAAGTAGACAAACATTTGAATATGTACTCCCCTTTAGGAGTTATGGTGGACTGCCACTGGCTACATTATGGATAGCTCTGTTTCCTGGCTAATGAGCCCCATTAGGCAAAAATGCAAGCCCAAATTTAGGGACTTGTGTGTGTGTAGGAGACTTCAGTTGTCCTTTTTTATGTACTTTATTTCTTTACCTGTGGGAGTCATTGAAAGGAGCAGGGGCTTAAGGACCAGAAGCCATTTTATTGAGCATCAGACCAAACATATATTCTCCGAGTATGTGAGCATACACTGTCCACGTGCTCCCTCCCCCTGCCTCCAGCCTATTCCTTGACTCTATTGCTATCTGGGTCCAATCCTGCTAACGGACAACAGGTAACCAACCAGAGATCAGTGTGTCCAGCCTGTGTTTTAGGTTTCTCTATCTGTTGATTTGTTATTCCTAACTTTCACAGTTTCTCACTCCTAACTTTCACCGTTCCCACAGCTTCCCACAGTTTCTCACGGTTTCTCAGTTTCCCACATTTACCCACGGAAGGAAACTGGAATTAGTTTAATAGCTATGTCCTTCTGCCATGATTTTTATTGGGAAAGATATTAAAAGCTAAATTTGTTTGCAGGATGAAAGTCCTGAAACAAGCTGGATTCTGCTTTTGGAAGATGATTTGATTGTCCTATTGTCACAGTTTCCTTTTCGTGAACTGTTTCAGCAGTTCCTTGGGATCAAGTCTGGAGGTAAATTAGCTGCTAAAGGAGTTTGTTTGATTTTTATTTTTTGTTGTTTTATAAATGTATTAATGACTAAAACAGCCAAATGGACTACCCTGTTCTGAGAGATGCTCTTCAAAACGAGGAATAAACAAACCTGCACAAACAGCTTGCAGGCTAAATAGATAACTGAAAGTTGAACATTTTGGGGACTAGCAAGTTCATAGCAATGCCAGCATGATTAGAGTCTTTCCCTTTAGTTTTGCTCATGAGATATGTTCACAGATGTGCTTTCAGAGCTAATCTTTTTGCCCTTGCCTGGTAGCTGTGATGTTACAGATGTTAGTGTGATTTTTCTCCAATTACTTGGTGTATTTTTTTTCCTTCCCTAATCTCTGGAAAAGTACATGAAGATATTTCTTGATGGAGACTTTATAATCTGCATAGGTGATTTGTACTTTCATATTTAAATATTTCACTTGAGAATGAATGCTCTGCTTTTTTCTTTTTATTATTTTTTTTTCCCTTTTTAGGTTCATATTTTCCCAAAAAAACGACTCCCCACGAAATGATGAAGATTTTTGCTTTTGCAAACTCCTTAATAGAACTTCTGTCCGTAGGGCTGGAAATATTTAACAGAGCCCGTTACAGACAGTTTGTGAAACAAATTGGTCAGCTGATCAAGTAAGAGCTTATCTCCTCTGTTATGAATAAATCTCTATATACTGTTACTTTTGCATTTCTGTGGAGTCTTCCATTTCAGAAGAAAATGCGTTTCTCATAAAATGTCTTGTTCATAATTTCTCTTTCTGGTTTGAAACTTGGAGCTGCTACTAAAGCATAAACATCAGTTCTTGGGTGACCCTTGCCCTCGCAGGAGGGTTAACTGATCTGGGAATCTGAAGATTCAGAGTCCTTAACTCCAAAACTGTCTATGTGGTGGGGAGTAGCAGCGTGTAAATACTGTGGCAGTAAGGAAATGTAATTGAAAAAGTTGCTCTTTATTGTTAAATCTCTAGTGGTTGTTTAATAGAGCCTGGCTAGAATGATTATGTTTTCTGGCTTAACAGTTTCTTTCTTGAAACAAAATTCATGTTTTTTTTGTGCTATACTGAGTAAGTTAGTGCTATAATAATTGCTTGTGTCTGAGCTTTTTGCATGTATCGCAAGTTCAAAAGGTAGGATTGCTTTAAGGATTAAAAGATCATAAAAGCTTGATTTAGTGTAACAGAAGATGCATCCTTTGCTTGCAGAACTAAGAAGGGGATAGTACTGGAGTTCATAGACTCAACTTGTCCAAAGAGATGGGAAAAGTACATATTGCTTATACAGGAATCTCTTAGAAACCAAAGGGCAGAGTCTTAAACTTGTTTATCTCGTAACTAGACTCTAGTCTGGTTGCATGTGTCTGTTTTTATATTGTAATGATCTTTCGACAACTTGTTTTTTCTCTGTCTGTCAGGTAGGATGACACTTTGTCATGTGAGTGACCACTGGGCCCAATACATTAGCTGCAATAAACAGTGTGGATCAATAGGACATCCCTACTCCATGGAGAAATTGCAACTAGAGTTTGATGAGCTGTTTTTTAGAGCTGTTCTGCATGTTCTGAAGGCCAAAAGGTAGGTTGTCCACTGGTTGATACCAAAATACTGAGCTGAAAAGCCAAATACCTTGGAATGAGAGCTGTGAGAGGAGGTCATGCCGAATCAGTTCCTTTACCCTGACACCCCTTTCAGTGGATACTGATTTTGGCAATAGCTTTAATATTTACTCTTAATGATTTAATCAAGTGTAATATGCAGGATTTTTCAGCTCACTGGTAATATCAAGATGGGCAAGAATTCTGAGCTTCGATTTCTAGGATCAGATGTGGGGAACTTGCTGAGCTCATTCTCTCAGAATGAGAGGTGCCGAGACACATTTTCCCATTACCAATTCTGTAGGTCAGAGAATGTCTTCTTTTTAAGCTTTTGGGATTTAACAAGGCAAACCACTTTCTCTCCTGGCTTTTCAAATCTGACAGGTTGGGAGTCTAGTTGTTCATGTCCCAGATGTCTTATGGAATTTTTTCCAGCCATATGTTTTGGAAGCTCCTCTTTGTCATGCACTGTGTGGAGAACGAGCACCTGGAAAAGCTCTGCTCTAACTTGCAGCCTGCTGATTGCAAGCAGAGACTCAGAGGTAGGATCCCTTTGCTCAGCCCAAATAGCGGTGCCATGTGAAGGAAGTGTTTTGAAGAAGTGAATGAAAATAGAGATCTTAAGAGGTTTTATTTCTTGCATTTGTACAAGGTCAGCAAACATGTAAGGCAGTTTATTTGGATCAGGACAGGGACATCAAGAGCGTAGCTATATATTTTTATGAAGTGCTGGTATGTTTTTGCTGGCCAGTGCCACTCAGAAACTGTTTGAATGGGAATACAGATTCCTGCCCCCCTCAAATTCCAAATTTTTAGTATAGGATCTCATGTTTGTGTCTCAGAAGGAGCATAGTAGAATGCAGTGGGTTGCAGTTCTGGCAGTAACAAGTCATTTTTGGTGGAGCTTTGTTTCCCATCTAGCTAACTTTTATGTTTTGAAGTCTCTGGTATGCTGATGCAGAATACTTTTTATCATTTTCATTCCCCTGGCTGGGTTATATCAGCATGTCTGTGTCTTTCACAAATGTCTAGACAGGGAAATCAACAATTATTTCAGTGAAATTCATCTAATCTTCTGAAATAAAATTGTTTGACTGACACTTAGTGCTGACTTGGTTTCCCATAAGTCATACCCTAATAATCCTTGACATTAATGTTCTTCTGAGGTGGGAGAGACTGTTTTTATTTGTCTTCTCAGATTAATTTTGGGAAGTGTTACTAGTGGTGCATCTACAGGTGCTAGCAAGGCTTGGGCATTGGTGGAAGCTTTAGGCTTACATATCTAAAGGCAGAAGAACAACTGCTTTTTAGGAATAGGCAGAATCAGTGTGATAAAATGAACTAAAGCTGTGGAGAGGAGTTATTAGGACAACCTCTGGGGTTAGGACCAGCTTTAGGGTATCTGAACCTGAACAGTGGGCTGTAGTGTAAACGTTTGGGTAGAGAAGAAAGGGAATTGGGTCAAGTAGCAAGTGCTTGGTGAAGACACTGTTGCTGTGCTCTGAAGCAATGGAACTTAGATGGAGCCTGTCCTCTCTCCTCCCCATCCTTCAGTCCCATGATGTGGTTCAGTGGGTGTTTTTGGGTATGGCATATTATCCACTACCTTAAAAATGTACTTCTCAACTTCTGTTAATGTAAAAGGTGACATGAGAAGAAAAGGGAGCTGAGTGGATGGGGTAGAGATTGCTGCAGCTTCTTAGGTGTATGTGTCAAGAATCTTGTTTATTTTATTATATGTAGAAGACTTAGATTGCACAAATCTCCAGCACATTCTTCATGAGATGTGTTGGTGGTGAAGTCTCATCTTCTCAGATTGAGGTACAGGTGCAGAATTGTTGAAAGCACTTGAAGCAGAATGTAGCCAAGGTGGAAGTGTTTAATGCCAGGTGTGCTAAATGCAGGTGGCTCTGTGGATTGAGTAGTTGAGTACCTCTGTGAGTGCTTTTTCAGTATATTCAACTGCTGTGATGAGATCTTAGGAACCATTTCTGCTGGTATGTTAAACTACAGAGGAAGCAGACCACTAGGCAAATCATTTTACAGCCCAGGTGCAGCTTTCAACACTTCCTTTATCTTCAGTTTATTGTAAGTAACAAGGTCTGTGCTGAAAAGCATTTTTTTTTGAAGTGCTTTTTTTGTGGTAGCCCTTGAAGAGATGAATGGAGATGCTTTCAGTGTTCTCTTTATAATCAGCATAG